AAAGATTAAAATAGAGGTAATTAAAGAGGAAAGGATATAGAGAGACAGAGATTTTCGGGATTTTCGAGACCTACCGATAAAATAATCGATATTTTTATCGGTTTTGTTATCGATATTTATCGATTTGTTATCGATATTTACCGATTTTGTTATCGATATTCATCGATTTTGTCATCGATAATTATCGATTTTGTTATCGATAATTATCGATTTTGTTATTGATATTTATCGACTTTGTTAGCGATATTTATCAATTTTGTTATCGATTTTAATATCGATATTTATCCGATTTTCTTATCGATATTTATCGATTTTGTTATCGATTTGGTTATCGATATTTATCGATTTTGTTATCGATATTAATCGATTTTGTTATCGATATGAATCGATTTTGTTATCGATAATTTTTCGATTTTGTTATCGATATTTTTATCGATTTTCTAATCGATTTAGCTACCAATGGTATTATCGATGTTGCTATTGAAATTTTTATCGAATTTGTCATCGATTTTGGTATCGGTATTTTGATGGACGATATAATCGATTTTGTTATCGATAGAGTATAATGATAAAAATTAAGATAATGGAAAAACAGAATAACATGATTGTTATTAAAACGAACAGTGGTAGAGGTAGGGATCAACATTGATAGAAAAAAAGCGAAAAAATATAACCTTAAGCAAAAGCAGATGTGTGTATGTATAGATAGATAAGTAACGTAAGTTCCACTTCTACAGTGTGGCCCAGGCGCACTTATTTATAGGTTTTTAGGTCCTAAAAATCCGTTCCCTGCTTATGAGGTAACAGTGAAAAAATATTTTCTCACCCTTTTTATTTCTTCACACAAAAAAACTCATTCACGTCCCTTTTTTTTATTCAATACCAACACATCTTAATTCAACATGGAATGACACTCGTTATCTTACCTTCCTTTTTCATACTTTGAATGAGCTTATTCGCAAAGAAGTTAAAGGGTTGAGAAAATACCTTACCAATGATACCTCATAAGTTTAAATTGGTAAGGTTTTGACTGAGTTATTCAAGTTTTTCTTAAACCAGTCTTTGGAAAAAGTGCAAAAACAGCATCAAAAATCTCATTATTATGATTCCGTAGAAAAGTTTTTTTTTAATATTCTTATGCCAAATTTTTAAGCTTAAACTGTTCAGTTATCTGAGGTAATTTTTGCAAAAAATATTAAAAAAAAACTGTTCTTATTAATAAAAAACCAAATTTTTGGAGGTATTTTCAAATCGTAAATCTTAATATTTTTGCGAGATATTTATATATATATATATAATAGATTTTATAATTCCAGTGGAAAAACAGTACCGCTTTTTTTTGTATGGGGAGTGATGCAGTCTACTTTACATAAGTTGACTATGATTACTCGGCCGTCTATCATAGTAGCACAATACCGCTAAGTACATTTTAAAATTTTCTGGTAATAGCCTCATGCGATTATCGATTACATGTTTTGTTGTTTTTTGTGAAATATTTTATTTTTACCAGTAATTTTCTTTTAATCAAAATACGTTGAAATAAAAGTGAAAATAAAAAAATATTTGCCAGAACCCGCAGAACATGTATAACTAAAAAATATAAACAATATAATTGTTTATAAGTTATTTGTTGTTAAAATTTCTTAAGTCGTTCCCCTTGATTTCCTAATCAAATAGTGCATTTGTCACATACTTTCATATATATAAATGCACATAACACTACCTAATAGTCAACACACTTTTATTTTAATTTATCTTGTAAATAAATCACTTTAATCCAACTTTTATTAACTTGTAATTACATTACATTGTACCCATATTTACAATAATACATGGTTGCAAACTGACACATAAGATGTGTTGCCATACTGTACAAAACAATACAATAGAAAGAATTCTACGTAGTGAGGGTTATAATCCCTAAGTGCGGCCGCAGGTCGCCTACGCAGAAAGGTTTTCTCTGCAAAAGGTGTTTTGCCCCCTTTTTCAGCAACACAGAAAGGAGAATTCTACGTAGTGAGGGTTATAATCCCTAAGTGCGGCCGAAGGCTGCCTACGCAGAAAGGTGTT